ATTTATCATCCAATTCTGGAGATATTCTCAAGAGTACATAGATGCCGGAGCTAAAAATGGACTCATCAGCAGGTCTGAATTCCACTTAGTATTTCCTGAACGGCCATGAAAGAATTTACATCTTGCTCTTGTTGTATCGATTCCATATTCAGGAGAAAGGCAGGCAACTGAATGCTGTGATTTTCAAATTCTAATAAGAACTTCAGCAAAATAGAATCAGAGGGCAGGTAAGTGCTGGTAGGTAAAGGACAAGCTGAGGATATCCGAAACATCTCTGAAACAACTTATCGTTTATGTTCATAGAGAAAAGGAAAGACATGGTTTTGTAAGAAATATTAAGATGGTGGACATTCTTTGCTTCAACATTCTCCTCTAGGTAACTGCTGTGAATGTCAATTCATTAGTAATTAGTGTGGCATTCCAAGAACGTCAGGTGAGTGATTCCACACTTGGGTAGCTTTATATGTCTTCATCTTTTATCTTCTTTATTATTATTATTGTTTTTAAAACAGTATAATTAGCTCTGTAGGGAACCATGCCCAATGCACATGTGTGCAACACAGAGAGAAAATGCATTTTAAAGGTTGATTCTATTGGTTTTTCATTTTAATTTAGTTACCTCAGATGGCACTGGCTTGGAATTTCACCAACTGTTTGAGATGCCAATAACAGTTTTACAATGTAAACTTGAAATATATGAGCAGCAATCAGGCCAGGTCTTATAAAATTTTACACAGAAAAATATACCTGCAAATCAAACCTTTACACCGAAGACAATGCACACTCTGGTGGCCTGTGTGGGTACAGTAAATGATAGTGATGTTATTTTTGACTCATTGGTAGTAAGAAACTTCTAAACCCTATCTCTTCATTCACTGATCCAAAGTGAGGAGAAAAAAAGCCATGTTTTTGTGAATTTATATCAGAGTTCAAGTAACCAGTCTGAGTATGCTTAATTACTAAGCTGTTATTGTTTCATCTAGGCTACCTGTTATTATCACATATCATATCTGAAGGCTTGGACTTTGACATAGCCAGACATAAAATCTATTTGAAAAAAGGAAGATCTTTCTAGATCATCAACAGTAAAAATAGACAACTTGCCTCATCAGTGATGTAACCACTGACAAGAAGTTTATTTGTGGCAAACTGCATGTGCAAGTTTGGCCACTGGCAAATCTCAGGAGAGAAAGTTTTCATGTAGCAAAGTAACAGCCTATGGTTCAGAATTTTTATGCACAAAAGAAAGAAAACATAGAGAATGAAAGTATATCTCTCCTTCTAACATTTACAATGCAAATTATGTTTACTTACAAATAGTACAAATTAATAAAAGTAAATATAGTGCCAAATAGTTATTGAAAATATAAATGTTGTCCTACACAAAATTATAGTTCCATGGACTAAAAAACGATGCAAATTTCTGTAAGGCCCTGCTGGACTCTAAGAAACCTTTAGCAGCTTAGTTATAACTTAAAATCTGCAGCATCAACAGGGATAATTATTTTAGAACTATAGGTATGAGAAATCCAGTTCCAGGGGAGATTTAAAAAACAGAGCAGAAGTCAGGTGTAGTGGCACAAGCGTGTAATACAGCACTCTGGGAGAATGAGGTGGAGGCTTGCAAGTTTGAGCCCAGCCGGGATAATTTAGTGACTTAGCAAGATCCTATCACTAAATAAAAAATTTTTTGAAAGGACTGGAGATACAGCTCAGTGTAAATGCCCTAGGTTCAATCCACAGTACCACAGAACAGTAACTACCACCACAGCAAAACAACAACAAAAAGCAAAGAAACAAAAACAAAATAAAACAGAGGAGAAACAGGCAATTCCATTTAAAATCACCACCTGCCCAATAGAAGCAAGCTCTTTTTTTTTTTTTTTTTTTTTT